GCTGCCGTTTGTCCCTTCGCCTTTCGAAGCAGCAGCAACAGCTGCTGCAGCAAAGCAGGACAAAAGCTGCTGCTGCCCCAAAGGGGAGGAAGCAGCCAGCAGCAAATGTGCATGCGTTTGCTGCTGAAGAGTTGGCTGCATTTTGCACAAATGCCAGCCTGGAAAGCTTTCTTTTAAATAGCAGCTTAGTTTGCCTTCAAGAGGCCCCAAAAGGGTTTATTTACAAAGCAGCGGCTTCTTAGTAAACCCTAAATTAGGGTTTGAGTCAACTGCTTTCGCTTCGCGCTGCCTGGCACTTCTTTTCTGCATTTCCAGAGGATTTGTCTTTGCTGAGGCCCCAACTGGGCTTTATAATGCTTTCTATTTCCTTAAATCGTAAATAAATTGTAAAGCATTAATTAAAAAGACCCTTTGGGGTCTTTAAGTGCTGCTTTCCCAGCAAAAGTCTGCTTCGGGGCTCCAGAGTCTTTGTTGAAAAGTACCAAGTCCGCATGGACTGCCTTTGAGGATCCAACTTGTTGCAAAAAACAAATGCCTTCTTTTAAAGACAAGTTTTTTCTTGAAGGTTTATCTGATTCTGATTAAGTGCTTTTGTCCATTTAGAGCTCTTTATAATTCCATTTGATCACATTTCTCATTTCTTTGCCTCAGCCATCAACAGAAAGGCTCCTTATGGCAATAGAGATGGCAAAAAGTCTTTGCAGTAAATCCGAAAAAAAGAAACCAAGTTTATCTTTTGCTGCTTTCTGTCTGGCAGTGGCTTTTCACAGTCTTAAAGCTTCATGCAGGCTTTCCTGGGTTCCAGGGAAACTGTAGGAGTCTTTACTTCTTTCTTTCTTTCTGGTTTTTAGTCATTTCTTTCTTTTCTGTGTTTTTCTGTCGTTTCCACTGTAAGAGTCTTTACTTCTTTCTTTCTTTCTTTCTGGTTTTTAGTCATTTCTTTCTTTTCTGTGTTTTTCTGTCATTTCCATTCCTTTCTTTTCCATCTTTTGCGGGTCTTTTCCCACTTTTTTCGAAGTTCTGAAAGCTTTCTGCACACGCAAGAAAGCCCACTGCAGCTCCTAGTGGGATATTTATATCTTCAAATGGTGGAGAAAAATTTGTTTGTTTTTATTCCGTAGAAAAGTTAAAGATGGAAGGCATTAGCCTCACGTAAAAGCAGCATTGGGGTTTCTAAAGGTGCACTTGGTGTAGCTGATACCCCAGGAAAACATCTATACTTTAGTTGGAGCTGGTCTTGTTAGTTATTCACCTTCAATCTTGTCTTTTTATTTTTCAGAAAAGATAATTTAACAATACTGGAGCCAATAAAGCGACTTGCTGCAGTGTAAATGTCCTTCCATCTTCAAGTTTTGCATTTTCTTGCCTGCCACTCGTCTATTGCATTTCTCCGGCATTCTTGTTCTTCCTGCAATTATGCTTTTCTACTTGTAATTGTCTTTCTCAACATAAATTGCTTTTTCCTCCAGCCTTCCGTCTTGGCTTTTACTTACTTCATGCCCAGCCTAAGCCAGAATGAATTCATTTCTGGACTCTTTTCTGTCTTGTTTCCAAAAAGCATTCCAAATGGCCCAACTCGGCCTTTCACTTGCAAATTATCGCGCAAAGAAAGGCCAGAACTAGACTTCTAGAATGGCGAGTCTTAGTGGCCACTCAAATGCCTCAGACTGCATGAAAAAGTGCCCCAGACTTCGCCAACTACCAGCAGTGGAGCAGCACAGTCTCAAGAACATGTAGTTCAACAAAGATGGGAATAATGTTAGAAAGAGGCCAATAAAGCAGAATCGTTTTAGAGCTTTTGTTGCTGCAGAGCTCTTGAGCTGGAAAACCAATTTCTCTGCTTTCCGGCTCGAGCTGAAGTTTGTTTTGCTTCTGTGAATCTGCAGCAGAAAGCATTCAGAAACTCCAGAAGGAATCCTAAAATGCAAAGCTTATGCTCAGCTATTTAAGTTAATATGAGGCATTTTGGCGCATTGCGTTTGTCGAATTTTTCATTTATAGGCCCTAGCTGTGCAGAATTGAACCTCAGGCTTTGCCCGCTGTAGCTCCTAGAATATATCCTTAAGAGCTACCCAAATGAGTCTTTTGAAGATAAAGTTATCTTCAAATTGGAGAACATCATTTCGTCGTTGCTAATGGTGGCCGCTGGGGCACTTCCCTCCACCGCAATGGAAGTGACGGGAAGACGGAAACTGTTAATTGAAACGCCTAAAGCTTTATTAGTCCCTTATTTTATATACATTTCCACTAGGTGGCATCACTGGCTCGAAAATGACCACAGTGTCATGTGTTTATTGGGCTTAAGAGCAGTAGCACTTAGCCCAAAATGCGCAAGAAAGTGGGGTCGGGTTCGTGGGCTGTTTCCCCTTTCACATGCACATAAAAGTATGGATTGGCTATTTCTCCTCAAACTGCCAAGGTGGAAAGCATTTAAATTCTTTCGCAAAAGAGTTTTAGTGCGCAATGCTGCAGGTGAAGGAACTGTTTTCCCTCTGCTTTCGGGGGCTGACCGAAAAAGAAAAAAGCTTTAGAGCTCTGTGCCAGATTGAATGCAGGCTGGCTGCTGCGCACAGTGCAAAAGAAGCAACTGGAGTTTTATTTCAAAAGGCCTTGTAAATTCTTGCGGCAAGCAAGACGCTTTCATAAGTTTAGGCGACAGAAGCAGACACGAGCTTCACAAATCCAGCGCCAAGTTCAGTCCCGCGCGTCCGGTTATACTAGCAATCAGGATGCTGGCTAATATTAATTCACTTTTAAAGGCTGACAGTACTTACTGTGCGCTTTTAATCGTCTTTTCTGCGAGCCAAATGCCCCAGAAAAGCTAGCCCGTGGAAGCTCTTTTTATTTCCCGTTTTTTCTTGCTGTACACAGCGCAGCTGCAGTGGCTTACTGCCATCTAGAAGAAGAGCCACGCAGCATAGCCAGTGCCACAAGAGCTTTCTGCAATAAATAAACCCTTCTAGCTGCTGCCCTGTTCATACTGGCTGCTCTGCTAGCTATGCATGGTGGCAGAACAGCCAGCTGGGGATATCTACCTGCATGCATTGCTAGAAAAGAAGGAGCCAAGGAAGCTTATGGATTTGAAATGGGCCATTTCTGAACACCAGGTCTATCAGAAAGTTCCTTCGTAGGGAAGGTCACGGGGTATTGCAGCAGGCTACTGTTTTGGGAGTTGTGAATAGTTGAATTGTTTCAACTGGGGAAGGATCATGACTGCAGTTGCGACCCCGGGACTTCTTTCCACGCCTAAACAGCCCTCAATCCCTACACAAACTTGTTTCGGATTTTTCTGCTGAGGTGCGCGGCCTTTGGTCACTCAAAGAAGGGGAAAAGCCACTGAGTGCCGCTGTCGTGTTGCCTTGCTGGGGCATAGAAAGTTAGTGCTTTCGCTTAAGCGTGGGACTCAAACATTATCTTGCATTGAAAGCATATTACTTTATTCTGGGTGTTCCAGCGCAGCAAGTTGCACCTCAAGCAGCCCAAGGCTTCTGTTTCCCTTAGCGCGAATGGGCTGAGTGAAACAGTGGAGATCTAACTGGTGCAGTGTCGAAATGAACTTATGTAGTTGCTTTCGAGTTCTTTTCACATTCATTTACATTTATTTATGAGAATAGACATGTAAAATGCCCACAGCTGCTAGAAAAGTCCCGCTTGAGTTGCTGATTTCCACACTTGCAGCTGAAGTCGTGCTCACCCCGCCCTGCAGGCACGGCTTAGCTTGCCGCCTTAGGAGTTCAAAGTGGTCAAACTTGGCAAGGCGGCATTTTTGGAGGAAATATCTGGAAAGAAATTGCACAGAGGTCACTGCCCCGTGCCGTCAAAGTGGCACTAAGCCGAAGTATGGGGGCGACCCGCGTGGGCTAGTGCCTTAGACGCTGCCTAGAGGGCTCTCTGTGTTGACTTGCAAACATGAAAGTGCTAATTGCTGGTAGAAAGCGGTACGGGCAGCAGCCAGGGAGGCTGGAAATTGCCTCAGAGCCCTTCGTTGCACCTCCCTTCGGAGCCCCGGGCTGCGCGGATTTCCGCGCAGCTCTGGCTTATGGGCTAGCGACAAGTTTCCCGAGACGAATTAATTTGAAATGGGCGGGCTGATGGCCTGATTTCTAGTGTCTCACGGGGCTAATCGGCGCAGTGTGAGGGTCCGAAGCGGGCAAAGTCCGGACTCTGGCGCGGCGTCTACGGCCGTCGCTCGCTGCAGTTTCGAGCTACAAACTTTAAAAGTTTCCTTCTCGAAGCGCCATTAAAAGCTGAGCAAAGCGCGAAAGAGCCAAGTGCCTCAGCCCCGTCTTGGCTGCAGAAAGCCCAGCGGCCTGCGACGCTGGTAATTCGCCATTGAGCCTGTCACCGGAGTGGACCGGTAGAGGCCTACTATAACCCCTCGTTGGACTGCAAATTTTGTGCAAAGAGCAGCGCCGCTAAACTGCGGAGTTTGGGAATTGTTTGTGGCGAGTTGCAATGAAAAATTGTTTCGCGCGGGAAGACGCGCGGTACGTACGCAGTGGCCATTGTGCGCGGCGCCTGCTGGGACAGCGGAGTCACTAGTCACTCTGCCGCGGCTGCCAGCAGTAGTCACACTCGGATTGGAGTTTAAAATTGCAAACATTGCGAGTTCGGGGTTTGTTTTTGAGTGCGGACTTCTTAGAAAGAGGCGGGCGTTTGCTGCGCGCGAAAGAGCGAGCGCTGCAGTTGCTGCAGTTGTGCTGGATCGCGTGGGGCTGGGATTGAGCTGTTGCTGGAGGTTGGGTGAGATGGTGCGAGCTGCGGCGTTTCGGAGCGCGTCGGAGTTGAATAAAGTTTTTTCGTGAGTTTTCTTTGACTAACTTTTGCTTTTTTGACTGCCCGAAGCGGCTTTGCGGGGCACAGCTCGCGTGGCTGCTTCCAGCGCTGCCGCTGCACCTGCGGGACACCGCGCCGCCGAAGGCCCCGCCGCGCCGCGCTGCAGCAGCAGCAGCAGCAGCAGCAGCAGCATGCGAGGCTTTGGGGGGCCTCCGTAGAAGACGATGGCCCGGGCTTTTGTGGGGGAAGAGGGGGTGGTGGGCGAGGCGGTGGGCGTGGAGGGCGCGGGTCTGGCGGCGGCCCCGCAGCCAGCTGCTGCTGCTGCTGCTGCTGCTGCTGCTGCTCCCAAGAGACCAGTGGTCCCTCTGGCAGCAGCGGGGCCGCGGAAGTCCATTAGGAAGCGCGAGCTGACTCTGACGCTGCTGTACCTGCTGGCCATAGGGGTGTTGGCGAGCCGGCGGCTGCTGCTGCGGGGCCGCGCGGCGGAGGGCGCAGCAGCAGCAGCAGCAGCGCCGCCCGCAGTGGGCGCAGCAGCAGCAGCAGCAGCAGCAGAAGGCGCGCGGGAGCCCGCAGCAGCAGCAGCAGTCCGCGCGAAGCTGCGGGAACTCCACAGAGTGCTGCCTGCAGCAGAACTCGTGGTGGAAGTGCTGGAGGCCCTGGAGCCGCAAGTGCTGCTGCACAGCCTGCAGGCCAAAGTGAAGAAGGCTGTGATGGCGGAGGCCGAGGGCTTGGCCTCGGAGGAGACTCTGGAGAGTCTGGAGGAGGCGCTGCAGCAGCTGCATGCGCTGCAGGGGCTGGCGCTGCAGCAGGGGGAGAAGCTGCAGCAGCAGCAGCAGCAGCAGCAGCGGGAGCTGCCGCAGCTGTGGGGCCCCGAGCCCGACCCCGAGGGCCGCAACTTGACCGAGAGGATCCCCGACTTGACTGCAGCAGAGCTGCGGCTGCTGTTCAGCTTCGAACACGCAGCAGATCTGTTTGCTGCAGCACGAGCGGGCTTTGCTGCAGCGCAGCAGGAACTCAGCAGCAGCAGGTTCCGCCGCGGTGGAGACCTCAGCAAGCTGCTCGACCGTGCTGCCAGCAACTTGGCCTACATGCAGCAAACTGCTGCGCTGCAGCAGCACTACTTCGACCTTGCGCAGCAGTTTGCCGACAAGATCAGCAGCAGCGTCAAGTTCAGCAAGTTCCGCAAGTGCGAGGCTTCGCTGGTGACTCTGGGCTGGCAGTTCATGGAGCTGCGCTTCACGGCCAAGCTGCTGCAGCGCGAGCAGCAGCAGCAGCAGCAGCAGCAGCAGCAGCAGCACGGGGAGCAGCGGGAGGCGCTGCGCAAGCTGCAGCAGCAGCTCGCGGAGGCTGAGCGGCTGCTGGGGAAGCTCAGCCGCGATCTTGCTGCAGTGGAGGAGAGCAGCTCGCTCAAGGCTGTTTGCAAAGCAGCAGAAAAGTTCGAAGCAGCAGCAGCAGCAGCACGTCGCTCACTTGCTGCTGCGAGCGACGCTGCTGCGCTGTCTCGCCACCTCGCCGCGCCGCTCTCCGGCCGCCTCGGCGCCGGCCTCGCCGCGCCCGCCGCCCGCGACCCCGCAGCAGCAGCAGCAGCAGCAGCAGCAGCAGCAGGCAGCAGCAGCAGCAGCAGCAGCAGCGAGGACTTCCTGGCGGAGCTGGTGCGGGAGTCCGAGAGCTTCCGCGCGGCCTGCCTGGAGGAGAGCGTGGCCGTGAAGAGTTTGCTGCAGGAAGTGGCGGAGAAGGTCCGCGCGGAGGCCCTCGCGGGGGGCCCCCCCGCCGCGGGGGGGGCCCCCCCGGGGGGCCCCCCGGGGGCCCCCG